GCCAGAGTCTTCATCAGGCTCTCCTTCCCACAGTAGCCCACCAGCACACGCCAAGGACCTGACTGGCCCTGACTGCCACAGCCAGGGAGGGTTCGGGCCTGTGGTGCCCCCAGAACTCACTGGCTCTGGTAACAGGCAAGAAGGTTAGAGAATGGATTTAAATCAGGCCCCACCCAAATTCCAGAGCAAACATTCTCCTTCTCCTTCCTACCCCCTCACTGACTCCCTGCTCAGTTGCGCATGTCGGGGCGGGGGGTGTTGGGAGCAGGGGCACATGGTCGGGCCCCCAGGACTCTGCTCAGCGCTTAGAAAAGACCCTGACCCCAGCAACTCAGGGATGGACACCAATTGCAGCATGATTTATTGGACAAGACGTGCACTTTTTGACAGGGCCTCAGTAACCACAGTTTCCTTCACTGAACAGTACAGAACCAGGGTAAAGGGCTTACAGACAAGAAAGACAAATCCTTCCCAGGAGCTGAAGGGGAAAGAAAAGAGGAAGGGGGGCTTCTCCTTCCTTCCTCCTTCTCTAATACTCTGGGCCTCAGTTCACCCCATGCCAGAGGAAAGTTGGCCAAGGGAAGATGGACCATGTGTGCCACAGCCAGGAGTGGGCTGGGGCTGTCCGCTCAGGGCCAAAATCCCCGGCCGGCCATCCACACTTTCCCCACCCAGGCCCCCTGTGGGTGTGGTTAGAAAATACAAAAGCGGATCCAATGCAGGACATCATGTGCAAACAGAAGAGGGGACGGAGCTTCTGCAGAGTCTCTCTAGGCCACAGCCCCGCTGATGGGGGGCAGAGGTCAGAGTGCGCTGCGGTGCTTTGGAGAAGGGTCTCTTCTCGATCCAAGGAGGGTGGGTGGCTGTTGTCACTAAGCTTGGGGAAGACGGTTGGTGAAAGAGGAGCAGAGACTGAAGGGCAGGACCAGAGGGGGGCTTCTCCCCCTCCCTCCAGCAGGTGAGTGGGCCGGCCAGTCAGAAGCAGGCTGTTGGTACCTACAGGAGGCCGGTAGGGAAGAGGCTGAGGGGCTGACTCTCATTGGTGGGCAGCGGAGATCGGTAGCCATCAAAGTTTCTTGGGATGCTGCCGCTGGTGGAACCTGAGCTGTTACTCAGAGTCTCGATGCTTCCCTCTCGCTGTAGTTCTGTAAGACAGAGGAGAAGGCCAGGCCGGGTCAGAGTGTGGTCTGGGGGGTGGGGACACATCCTGGGCCGGCCTGCCTGCCTTGAGACACCAGTCTGGGTCCATTTACATCCTTCTGGGCCAGGGGGCAGCTCGGGTCACAGGGAGGCACAGCCAGAGGAGGAAGAAGCTCCCTTGGCTGGCAGGCTCCAGTTGTTCCCTCATTGTGGGAACCCCTTTAGGCCAGAAGTACGGCCACCCTGATGATTTGTCTGGACCACACTGCCATGCGTGGGGCACGTGCCCACATCTGCACACATACTCAAGCTCAGCCAGCATGCTCCCCCAACTCCACGAGTGGCTCCTGTCCTGGATCCACAGGTCAGGCAGGAGGGGAGAAGTCAGGACACAGGAAGGACCTCAGCTTCCTTGCCTGAACTGTCCCTACCTCTCCTCCCCTGCCTCATCTGCCCTGGAGCTTCCACCCCGTCTCAGCCACTCACTTGCTCACTCATTCTCACCCACACAATCCGCCTGCTGGCCAGGCCCTGGTTCATCTTTGGCACCTCCTGGAAAGTGTGCTGTTTCCCTGCAGGAGGGAATGCCTGGTTTGAGAGGGGCCTACTCCAATGGAGAGGGGGTCCCTGCTTTTGGAGTGCCTCCTTTCTCCCTCTTAGCCCCCAAGTCTCCTAGAGGCCCCCAGAATGTACATGCTCAGAATCGACCTCCTCCACCCCTTCCCTGGCCCCAGCACAGCCATGCTGCCATCTTGGATATGGCGCCTGGCCCCATCTCATTCAGCTGTAGGCATCTTACTTAACTGCCTACCATCTCTTAACTCAAAACAGGTACTGGGGTAGGTGGGTTAGGAATAGACTTCCTTGCATGCTGAATGCAAGGAAGAAGGAATTACTTCTTCCTTTTTGAAAGTGGCCAGTTGCTATCCCCTTTCAGTCCCTCATAGTGGGCTCTGAGATGTGGGCACATGAATCCCGGGGCAGACTCTGGGAGTCTGCCCTAAGCCAAGATGTGGTGACCTGCAATCTCTCCTTCTCCAAGTATGCCTGCCTGGAACTGAGGGGGTCTTGCCTGTCCACCTCAGGGGCTCAGGACCTCAAAGCAGTCATCTGAAACAGCAAGGTGTACTCGAATGTTACACTTATCTGGTCTGGCTTGAGACCTTTATTTCCAGCCTGCACCCGCTCCCAGGCTCCCTGCCACCATACACATGCAGCACAGCTGGCTTTGGTTAGGGAATGAGTCATGGCCTTTACTCCTGGGCTGGCCATCACTAGCCAGCCAGGAACTAACCACTGACCCTCACTCCCTGCAGGCCACCCCCAAAGCATTGAGGCTGCCCAGTAGCAGCAGCCACAGAATGGATTGGGGGAGTTGTGCTGCCCTCCTTCACAGCAGGCACCAGGGCCCAGGCAGGAGGGGCCCTTAAGCTGCACCAGCCATGTCTGGGGCCTGAGCCCAGGCTGAAAGGGTATGTCCGGACACCAGAATCTCTCAGCGGATGGGGGCAGTGGAAGGAGAAGGCTGTGAACACAAGCTGCGGGCCTGACAATGGTCCCTGGTCTCCAAGAGACACTGGCTGCCCTGTTGGACCTGACCCTGGGATAAGTCGAGTTATCTAGATATGGACAGAAAACAAGGCTGTGGTGTGGGCTCGTTCCTCAGTTTCAGCCTAATTTGAGAGTACAGGCCATTGTGCCAAGAGAAGGAGAGGATGGGAAAGCAAAAGAGTAGACCCTGCGATTTCTATATGGAAGCTTCAGATTCCAAGAAAGCTCCTTCAATTCCCTTCTTTCCCCATAAGCAAGCCGAGGAGGTTGTGGGAGATCTGAGGCCCTACTTGATTTCAGAGGCCCCTGCCCTCATGCATGGCGGTCCCGGCACTAGGGGGCGCTGACAGCAGGGCCAGGAGGGCAGGAGAGAGGAGCACGGGCAGGAGCAAGAAAAGCAGGGGCTTCCTTAGGATCTGGACAGCAGGCCCAAGGAAGAAAGCCCCAGATGAAGGAGCAGCAAAGGCCACTAGTCTGGGGAAGGCTGGCTCCTTTCCAGAGCTAGGGGACAGGCCCAATGCTCTTGATGCAAAGTGCAAACACATCCACAGTGCCAAGGAAGCTGCGGAGACCGGAGCCCAGGACCAAGCGCGGCACCCCCACTGCCCCTCGGCACAGGCCCACAGCAACCCCCTCAGCAGCCTCAGTGACCCCACCCCACGAGTCTGAGTGGACGCACCTCATCCTATCATGTGACAGTGCAGGGGCAGTTGCCAAAGGGATTTACAAGATGAGTTTGCTGCTCTTGGGGTCCAGGTATAGCCTGAGCTGCCTTGCTCATATTTTCTCTTCAGCAATTAGGCCCAGGGTAAGATGGGAGTGGACAGGCTTCTCCCTTGCCCCCACAGCCCAGGGTGACCAGGATTTGCTAAGGTTAACTCCCGTACACCTCCCCGAGCCTCTTCCTCTCCCTTTCCACTGCCACTGTCTGGTTAGGCCTGAGCTTCCCACCTGGATAATTTTAAGAGCTCCCTACTGGTCTCCTGATCTCCAGAGCCCCCTCTCTGACCCACCCCACTATCAAAGCAGAGTGGTCTGTCTATAGCACAAACCTCATCTTGCTTTTCCTCTGCTTAAAAACCTTCATTGACTCCTAACAGTTCTTGGGATAAGGTCTCAACTCCTCAGCACTACAAAATGGCCTTCCATGACCTGGCCCCCAGACCCTACCTCACTAGTGTCACCTGTTATTGGACTTGAGGAACCAAAGTGATGAACTTATGCAGTTTTTGGATCTCTCCAGGCTGCTTTAGGCCTCTGGGCCTGTGCTCATGCAACTCGGTCTGATTGAAAAGCCCTTCCCAGGCTCTCTCAGCTCCCAGAACACCTACTCATCTTCCAAAGCTTAGCACAAGTGCCCACTCCTCCATAGGCCTGTCCTGTTGCCCTACCCAGGCTCTGCCATGCTCTGTATTGACTCCTGCCCCAGGCCCTCTAACACTGTGCACTGTCTGCTCACATGTGTGTCCCCATCCAGGTGGAGAGCCCCTCAGGGGCCAGATATCTCTGTATCCCTAGTGCCAACCACAGGGCCTGGAAAATAGCTCGTGCTCAAAAAATATTTCTTGAACGAATGAATCGATGAATAAATAAATGAATGATGTGTTAAGGGGAGGCAGGGCTTCTTCCTCAGCACGGATTACTAGTAAAAGAACCAGGAGCCTGGCTGGTCCTGGGCACTTTTCTACATGCCTTCTGTCAAACCCCTTCTCTCTTCTCCTCACTGAGACAGAACCACGAGCGTGTGGGGACGTGGAAGCGGAGGAGGGGCGCACACATGTTCCCCCTTCAAGTCACCCCAGCCGCCCAGCCCTAGGAGCAAGCGGCAAATGGAAATGGGTGGCCTTACCTTCCTCCATCCCGAACACATGCTTTGTTACTGTTGGGTTGCTCACGGACGCTGGGCTGTTGGCATTGTTTTTTTTTTCCTTTTTTTTTCCCTTTTGAAAAGAAAAGCATTGAGGAATCTTTTTGGAAAAGATATGGACAACGATTGAGAAGTACACTGATCTCTGTAAGCAGGTGGAGAGGACATAGGAGGTGTGGAGGCGTCACACTGGGAGGAGGGCAAGCTTGCAGCAGAATTCTGCAGCCAAGGAGGACAGTGACATACGTGTGTAGGGGGTTGGGGACCAACCAGTCTTGGGGGTTCCAGAGATGGAACTGTTGTGACAAGAGCCGAGACCCTTTTCAGTGTGGGGGTGGGGGGAGAGGGGCCGCACACAGAGCATGAGGAGCAGCTGTGGGAAGGAGGGAGAAGGGGCCTCTGGCCCATGCAGTGCCGGATGGTGCCCCATGCAGGCGGGTTGCTGGGAGAGGGCGAGGAGACAGAGACAGGCTGCAGAGTTTTCAGGGATGCCTCCTGACGTTTTGACTCAGTGGCCCAGCTTCCGGCTGCCGTCCTCTTCCCCCACTCCCAACACCCCCAGGTCTGGACAGCTCTCCTGCAGCTGAGGGGTACTTGTGGGGAAGTCCACCAGCAACCTGCCAGGGCCATAGGAGAGAGAGCTGGGGGCTCTGTGGTGGGGAACTAAGAAAGCATCCGCAGCAGCCCTCCACTTAGGAGAAGTATGTAGATTCTGGCTGGTGGGGAAAAGCTAGCTCTAAGGGAGGCTGTTCTCCAGGTTACAGAGCAAGGTGGGGGATGGGGAGGAGCTCCCAGTCAGTGGCTGGACTCAGACAGACGATAATCTCATTGTGACCTCACATTCTCCAGCGACTTTGTGCACCTGGGAGATGGGTGCTGGTCTCCCCATCTTGCAAATAGCAAAACCAAGGAAGAGTAGGAAGTCACTGGCCCTGGGTAGGCAGTGCCCTTGAGAGAGAACTGATGCTGGTGCAGGCACCAGGATGGAGATGTTGACAACTCCAGCATCACTAAGACTGGCTCCCAAAACCCTGGACACTGGCTATGTCCACCCATTCCCTGCTGGTTCTTGTTGGAAAATGGGCCTGCTACCCACAGATGCCCCTCTATGCCATGTGCCGGGATGGGCAAGCCACAGGGACTTGGAATGAGCCGTAACTGAAAGGGAGGAGCCTCGGCTCTCATGAAATAAGCAAAGGAAAGAGAAAGCTCGATCCTCCTGTTGCCCCCACTCTATATGGAGTCTGGCAAAATTCAAAGGTGTCAGAGGGGGCAGCGAGGTGGCTGACCTTGTTAGGGAGAAGCAACTGGTTACCTGGGCGTGTATGCCAAGGGAGACCCAGCTGCCAAGGAGGAGGCAGGAGCACGGCTGCCCACAGACATCGCCCCACTCCTGAGCTGGGGGCCATGCAGAATGAGGGAGCCTCTTTGCAGTAGTTCACTCCACCATGACTCCACCATGACTCCACTGTGACCCCTGCCCCCTCATCCCACAGTGGGATACTGCGGCCCCTTTGCAAAGGCAGAGCAGCAGAGACTGGCTCCTGGGAGCTGTGGGTGGGTGCTGATGAGCAGTTCAGGGCTCCGCCTGGGGAGAGGCAGAGGATGGAGGCAGACCCATGACTATCTCACACAGCGCCAGAGATGGCATCTGGGGACAGGGCATGAGGATGCCTCTGTCTATGGCCTTTCCCTCTGGAGTGCTGGTCCCCAAGACTGCTTCACTCTCAAGGTTCTCCCTGAGGCTGTCCTCTCCCCTGGGTACAAACTCTTCCCTCCCTCAAGGTCACCCCATGCCTGGCAAGGCAGGGACTTCTGGGGACAGACTGGACCGAGGCCTCTTTTCACACATTGGTCACTTTACTAAGCACCATGGTCTCGGTTCCCCCATTCCCTGGGGAGGGGTTGAAATGCTGAGGGGCTAAGGAGCCTCAGAGAGAGCTGGGGAAGCCCAGGTGGGTGGGGACCCCAGCGGAGGGTCAGGAGTGAAGTCCTGCTTTGGGCTTGACCTTCTCCAGGCCTCTTCTAGGCTGGATGGCAGTGGGGGCAGATGGCCAATCAGAGACCCTGAGGGAAGCCCCTTCGGCTTCTGAGGGGTGGAGGAGCGTAGTGAGGAGGGTAGTGTTGTAGAGAACCCAAGTCTCAGGACTCAGAAGGAGGCCTGTTTCTGGGACCTGTTTCTGGGACCTAGGAGGGCAGTGGGGTGTGTGTGTGTGTGTGTGTTTGGGAAGAGGATGCCTGGGACCCCTGGTTCAGCCTCCAGGCAGCCCCGGCTCTTCCCCCACCACAAAAGAAGCAGCATCTACGCCCGGCCCCTCCAGTGCTCAGAGGCTCCAGCCAGCCCTGCTCTGTACACTTAGAGCCTCATGATGCTGCTCATTAAAGGGATTAGCAGAGCACTTTTATTGGGCCCTGGCTGCAGCCACACACCCCAGTTCCAAACTAACCACCCAAGCAGCCTGGTGGGAGTAGGATTAGACCTCAGGGCCACTCCTACCCTGCACCCACAGCCTGCCCTTTTCTGGCAGTAAGAAGGGAGAATGCTCCCCACAACCCTACCCCACAGCCTCCAGGACCTGAGATGGGGGAGGCGCGGGGTCTGCCCAGTTTAGGGCAGTTTAGGAAAGCGGTTAAGAGCACAGGCGCTCTGCAACCTGGGAGACTTTGGGCAAGTTACTCAATAGCTCTGTGCCTCAGTTTCCTGCCATGAGGATAACAATGTCTGTTTCATAGCGTGGTTGTAAGAATTAAATTAAATAATGCATGTAGAGTGCATCACAGAGTGCTTAAAGCTTCCAGTCAGCAAATGTGAGTTACTATTATTGTTGCAATTGTATTAGTGATTGTGATTATCTGTGGGACCTCAGGGTCCCTCTCCATCTTCCCTCCCCAGCAGGTGTCTCTGCCATCCAGGCTCCCACCAGCTCGCCCCTTGCTGGAGCTTGGGAAGGATTCTTTCTTTTTAATCAAGAAATGGCCCACGGAGGAAGATGGCAGATATGTGTTTACAGCTTTTCATTTCCCTCCTTGCCTCTTTGTAAATACCCTCTTCCAAGCTGGAAAATAAATTTCCAACTCTGTTGACATGCATCGATTTTTCCCTCCTGCGTCCACCTCCCAGTTCTCCCCCATCAGCAGGGCCTGTGGTGAAGCCCCTGGCCTGGGACGGGCTTAGTGGTAGCCCAGGGGAATAGGAGGCCCCAGAGCACAGAGCAGCCAGCCAAACTGCCCTATCTTGCCCAGTGCCCAGCTCAGAGGAGATCTGCAAACAGAAACAGTTCCAATCACCTTCTGCTGTGATGGTTCTTGGCTGGAGAGTGAGGTCGGTGGAGGGGGGTGTCCTTTGACTAGGTTAGGGATTTTCAGCATCTTCCCTGGATAGGATATGTGGAGAGGAGACCAGGGGACCACAGGACTGCTGCAAGTTTAGCAAACGGATCCAAATGGGGTCTGCCTCAAGCAATCAACTTTGTCAGCAAGGGGCCTGCCAGCAGGGCCTGGGACCAACCATGCAAACTGGGGCTTGGAGAGAAAAGGGCTAACGAAGTGGGGGACTTGAATGCATCCTGGGCTCAGCTGGATTGGCAGCTTCCTGCTGCTGGAACCCGCAGAGATGGCCCAGATGCCAACTAGGAGGTGGCCCTAGTGGACACAGCTATGGGCTGCTTGTCTTACACCAGTCCTGGGCCTGGAAACTACTGCTCTCTCCTGCAGAGTGTGGCTGAGGGAAGCAGAGATCGCTTCAGGGAGACAGAGATGGAGTTGGCTGAGAATGATTCTAGAAACCCTGAGAGCCCTGTCAGAGACCACACTCTGGGTTGGAGCCAGCCTCAGCCCCAGAGCACTTTCTAGGAGGTTAAAAGGGCAGCAGTTAAAGGAGGCAGCCTGTAGGGAGGCCCTGCTTGTCTTCACACTCAGACACGCCCACCTTCGAGGATGCCCTGCTCCCCTACACCTTCTCTCCTCGGGCACCTCTCCCAGCTCCACTCTGCGGGTCCGTTCCTCTCACCCTCAGGCCCCTCTCTCAGGCTGCAGAGCTAGGTTGCAGAGATACCAACAGACCAGGGATACTCTTTGTCTAGCACGGAGGTCTTGGGAGGATGGGGGCTGGGGGAGACTGAGAAGGGACCACCTTTTCCTTCTAGCAGGGATTTTTGTTCCCTTCCCAGGCATGCTTGCAGAAGGGAGGGCAGCTTCTCGAAGCTGAGGGGCTGAGGATGAAAAGGCTCCTCTGTGTTCAGATAATAGGAATCCTGGTTTGGGCTGATGGAATCCAGGAATAGATGAGAAGCAGGGCTCACTCTGGCCTGCTTATCTCCGGGCTTAACACCTATGTCTGAGCACAGAGCCCTGGCTCACTGACGCCACATAACTGCTGGTGATCTTAGCGTGCACACACAGCCTGACGTTCCTGAGAGCTTGAGCCATTGGCCCGAGGCCTGCAGCCCCTGGGTAGGCACGTGCCTTTCTTCCTGGCTGGAGTCTCTTTCAACCCCCAGGGCTCCCACAAAGGCGCTTCTATCCTCCTGGCCCAGCTCTTGTTCCTGACCCCCGCAGGTACTGAGACTCAGAATGTCACAGGATGAGGCCAAGGCCACATGGCCTGCCCTGCCCCCCAGCCCCCAGTCCCACACAGTGAGGGTAAATACCTGGTGCTCCTGGCTCAGGGTACCATGAACTGCCTCCCTTGGCCACTGGGGCCATGCATGTGCCTAATAACCTCAGCGTTTGTGGGGAGACCTGAGCCTAGGGAAGACCTCAGATCCTCCTTCAGACAGAGGTGTAATGACAGCAGATGAGCATGCTGGAATGTTGGGGAAGGGAGAATAGAAGTAGAAACAAAAGGCAGAGGGAGGCCTGAGGAATGAGGAGGACTCAGGAGGGAGGACCCATGTTCAAAAGGCCTCTTTCTTACCGCATCCTCCACCCCCTTTCTGCTGGAGCCAGGTATGTGTGTGTGTGTGTGTGTGTGTGTGTTGGGCTGGGAGCAGAGCATTTGAGTTCTAGGTAGAGCAGCTCACAGCCCAGCCTCAGATTCCTTCACAGCCTTTGAACAGCGGATGAGCAACGATGGTAGATGGGGTCTTAGCCAGAAGGTATGCTGGCCTGGTGGGGGCTGGAGCCTTTCCCCAGCTCCCTCATATAACAGCTATGATGCAGCACCAGTCCCAGGCAGAGAAAGACTCGAACCAAAAATGCTGCTACACCCCACTCCCAGGAAGCCCATGTTACCCAAGCCCTCCCAAGTCTTGGCTTCAAAGGAGAAGATCACAGGATCCCCCACCCAGGCCACCTCGACCAGTCCCCCACGTGCAGTGACCCTCTCAGTGCCACTATATTAGTATAACTTTAAATCCTGACCAAGGCAGAGCATGTCCTGTCACAACATGTTATACACGGGGACAGCAGAGGCTGAGCTGACCTGGCTCATGTTTCCCTGGTTTTGAGGTATTTGATAAATCTGGCTGAAGCCATGCTTAAGATCAGCCAGATGTAGGAGCAGCCCTGAGCTGAAACTCCCTTGGATGGCAGGAAGGAGGGGTCCTGTAGTAGGAGGCTGAGAGCTTCCTCTAGCCCCAGTTCTGCCAGAGACGTGCTGAATGACCTGGGCAAGTCACTTCACTTCTCATCTGCTTCATCATCTGTCAGGCAGGAGGGGAGGGGCTGCTCGGGCAACCTCCCTGGGCGTGCGAGGTTCTAAAGAGAAAGGATGTGATGGGGCTTTAAGAAGCAGAACACACACTGAACACGTGAGAGACCACTATTATGGCAGTGGTGTCCTGGTTAGAAAACCAGCGTTGCCATCTCTGGTGTTTCAGCAGGCTGAGGCCCCTGGAGAAGTGCTCCTCACCCAGGAGGGCCTGAAATGCCCTCCTAGCTGCAGGTCCTTGGCACGACACCGGGGGCAGAGCCTCGGCAGATGCCATCTAAGGTAGACTCAGGGCTGGGCAGCCCAGCGGCACGTCTTTGGTGGTAGAGAATGGCCAGCCAGGTGCTGTGACGTGACTTCTTGGTGTGCGTCTGCGTGTGGGGCGGATGTGGGTGCTCATGAGGGCCCTGCAAACATGCCCACTCAGCATGGCTATGAGGAGGAGACAGGGCTTGGAAACTCTCCCATGGAACCAGGTGTCTGGCAGCTGGCCTGGACCTGCCTGTCTCCTAAAGTCCAGCCTCGAAGCTCAGAAGATCCCACTGAGCGCCCAGGCGGGGTCTTCCTGAGCTGCCTTCCAGGGCTACGAGACAGCACAGGGGCCTGCAGACCACAGGAGAGACGCTGCTCCTTGAATGCTGCTGGCCTGACAGGCTAGAGCCACATCTGGTTCTCATTCAAATGTCCAAACGTAATTAAATTCTCTCCGATGCAGCGGAAGAGTTTGGTAAGATGTGGCTTTCCCCCTTTTCCATCAAGGTTAAGAAATCACAGTCTCTCATTCCACTGGCTGACCCACTCTCCTCCCTGCCACCAGTCTGTCCTATTCTGCAGAGGCCAAGGTCCAGGCTCTGATCTGTTTTCTAGAGCTAATGGGGCTGGGGCCAGTGTGGGGTACAAGGAGCCGCCCTCCCCCACTGTCCCACTTACCCACCTGAGAGGATTAACAGCTGAGGCCAAAGCAGCAGGCTGGAGACTGAGCAAGTCAGTGCACTGTGGGTTGGGTGGGGATGGGGAGGTGAGCGGCCCCCAGCACACAGCTGCCACACCCAGGCTGGCCTCAGTGACACACCAGTGTCCTCCTTCCACTGCCTAGATGTGAGGTACCTTGTGATACTCTGCCAAGGGATCCTTTCTTTGTAGTTCCTCATAATAGGAAGCACTTGAGAGTTAAGATTCTGGAGTCTCTGGTCTGGTCTACAGCTCCTCTGTGGGAAATGGAGCTTCCCACAGTCAGGGTAGTGTGAGGCCATCCCTCCTGCCCCTCACCTCTCACCCTGCAGCCTAGGGACTGCTGCAAGGAGACCCCCTGCCCCCTGCGCTCCCCCACGCACGAAGGAGGGGAGGCAGGAGAAATGCTGGCGGAACGGAGAATGGCAAGAGCAGCATAGGAGCCCTCTTAAGGAATCCCCAGGACCCCCATGTCTCACAAGCTTTGCTCACAGGCTTTCTGGCCTGTCAAGGCTCTGAACAGGTTAACGGGCAGCAGGGTCCAAGGCACAGTCTTCGGAGAAGGAGGGGGGCCTGCTCAACAGAAAGAAGGCCCACAAACTCAAGGCTTCAGTGCCTTTCCCCAGCCTCCCATTCAGGACTTCCCCAAATTCAGGCAGAATGTCCCCTAGATGAGCTGCTGCCCTTCCCAACTGAGTATCTTCAGTTTACGGCTTCTTTTTACTTAGGGATTTATGACTTTCACAGTAATAGGTTCCATTCTACTTCCTCTACGCCTATTTTTGTAATCTTTGTGCTACAGGCTTTACGAGTTTCTTAATAAGTCAGGGTATTTTTCCTTTTGAAACAAATTGTCCTGCAAGTTAATGACTTACAGTGGGTGTGGATGCTACCCAGAGACAGATGGGGGCTCGGGAGAGGATAACCAGGGAGGGGTAGGGGAGAATCTTCTAGATTAAATAGAGCTGTGTGGAGATCTCTTTCAGACTCTTGGCCAGCTCCTGTGCTCGAGTCCCCCATGCTGCTCACCAACATCCCTATCAGAGAATTAGGACCACTCTCAGGTGCACATGGCGTTCCCATGCCAAAGAATGCTCACCCCGGGGACAGGCGCGCACACATACAAAAGTTAGTGTGAACCAACCAACCCCAGCATCGCTGACCTGGCTCTAAATAGGAATAATTTTGTGTATTTGTTTCCAAATGGTAAACTTTAGTAATGGGTTTAATTTAGTTTCTTGGTAGCATTAGTGCCAAAGCCATGTGTCTGATGCCTTCATATCAGTGAAGAAGGTTTTAAGGAAACTAACCCAGTTCTTCTTTTTTTTTTTTTTTTTGTGAGGAAGATCAGCCCTAAGCTAACATCTGATGCCAATCCTCCTCTTTTTTTTTTGCTGAGGAAGATTGGCCCTGGGCTAACATCCGTGCCCATCTTCCTCTACTTTATATGGGAAGCCACCACAGCATGGCTTGATAAGCAG